TGCCATTTATCACATATCAGATTGGCAAGAACTTCAAAAACCCAACAATGCATCCTGTTGGGAAGGCCGGGGAGAAACAGATGTTACTGCATATTGCTAGTGGGAATGCCAAATCCTACAGCCCTTGTGGGGAAATCTGGCAATACCTAACAAAACTATTCCTGAATTTACAGGAAATATATCTCCAACGATAGAAAATGCATATGCATTAAAGTAGGCATTATAGCTTTGTTGACTGTAATGCTCCCAACTTAGATGTTCACATACATAATAGTGCCCAAATAAAGCATGGGACACTCATACAGTGGAGGATTACACAGCTGTAAAACAGAATGGGGAAGTTCTCTATGAAGTAATTTCTAGATAGTTAAATTTAGAAAGCTATGTTAAGCCTGATACAATGGCTCATTCCTGTAATCCTAGCTTCTTGGAAGATGAAGCTGGAAGTTCAAGGCCAGCCCAGGGCAAAAGGTTCTCCAAACCCCACCTCAAAAATAAGAAGCTCGGTGTGGTGGCATGCGCCTGTCATCCCAGCTACACAGGAAGTATAAGCAGGAGGATCATAAGCCAGGCTGCCCAGGCATTAACATGAGACCCTATTGGAAAAATATCGAAAACAAAACAGGCGGGGGCATGGCTCAAGTGGTAGAATGCTTGCCCAGCCAAGTGGAAGTCCCTGAGTAGAAACCCAAGTATAGGGGACAGTAGTAGAGGGCAGGGAAAGAGCTATGTTAATTAAAAAAAAAAAAAAAATCTAGCCAGGCGCCAGTGGCTCAACCTGTAATCCTGGCTATTCAGGAGGCAGCGATCAGGAGGATCACAGCTCAAAGCCAGCAGGCAAATAATTTTCAAAATCCCATCTCGAAAAAACCCACAAAAGGGGGGGGAGGGGCTGGTGAAGTAGCTCAAGATGTAGGACCTGAGTTCAAATTCTAGTACCACAAAATAAAAAATCTATAGTGAGATACCTTCTCTGTGAAAAAAGAACAGTAAATAAGAAAAAATATATATATTTATAAAAAGAAACTTAGGAAGAATAAGTCAGAAACTAGTGAGACTGGTTTATCTCTAGTTGGGTGAGAAGAGTAGAAATAGACAGAATGGAGTGACACTTTTTTATGGATCAGGTGCTCAGGTTATCAACTCTTTTGTTATACTTACAATTTTTGGAACCATGTTAATGTTTTAGTAAAATAATATTTTTACAAGATAGAATGAAAAATTGAGGGAGACTCTAAAATGGAGAACAAAAGCACCTAACTATATTTCAGGTATTATTCTAGATTAAGCGAATAAATAAACACACTGAGAATGAGAGGCCACTACCTTCAGAAAAGGGAATTACAAATATGAAAAGCCTAGAATGAATGCTGTGGAGTCAGATTGAAATTGAAGATCTTACTCTGAACTCATGGTTTTATACAGACATATAGAGGAACAGAAATAGATGTGAATATAAATATAAATTCTATCTGCTAGAGTATCTGGTAACAATGAATACCTTAATGCCCAGAATTTGGTTTCTAAATACTATTTGCTACTAAAATGAATCAGCTGTTTCTGATGATTTCAAGACTGGGGTAGAAAATGTACAAGTTCAGCTTGGAACGGCTTGTTAAGACCAGTTTTTAAGACATGGTCAAAGAACAATGGGGACAATGTTGTAAGACATAGCCAGTTTAAAAGGGCTCCTACAAGCCAAATCCAGGACAATTTGACCACCAAAATAAGTAATCATAGAAATGGATTACATGCCATTGAATGTGCAGACTTTTTGGTTTTGGATTTTTTTTTTTTTCTGAATTCAGGGCCTTGTGTTTGCTAGGTTGAGTCATCTTCTCGCCCCCATTTACATCATTGATTAAATAGGAATCCAAAAGTTCAAACAGGCATGAACAAATAAGTAACTAGAGAAGAAAGAAAAGCTAGTCATTATAGAATCTCAACTAAAACTCACCATTTGGTGAACAGAATAAACTGATTCAGACAAAAATTATCATGGATGCTAAAATTAACAGGTTAAAGTGTAATAACAGGATATATACATAACATTAAGTTATTCACAAAGTACCTATTAACTACAAAGGTAAAAAACTGATAATGTTGTAATGGAGAAGCTGGAAGACACCCCCTTAACCCACATGATCAAAGCAGTGCTTTGACAGAACTGACACCTACTGTAGCAGAGAGGAGGATCAGGAAAAAAAAAACCAAAAAAAACCCCAACAGACTAGGTCTGAGTCCTGAGAAAGTAGCAGGGAGGTAGGATCGCATAGCAGAGAGACAAACCTGAGAAATCTGAACATGAGGAAGGTCACGTAGCACCTGGGGGGGAAAGTCACAGTAGCCAATAAAATTAAATATAATCATTTATGGATTAGACCTTGCTCTTTGCTTCTGTAACCTGCTTGCAAGGATATATAAGGTGAGACCCCTCTGTGCTCAGGCCTCAGCCTTTGGTCAGGAGTCTGCTGAGTCTGTGCTGGCACAATAAAATGTTGCTTCCTGCTAATTGCCTCAAAAGTCCATCTCAGCAAACTCCTGCAACAATACCAACCCAGGAGAACACCATTTCCAAAGTTTGCTCAGTAAGGACAGACATGAGGTTGAAACTGGCCATGGTGGGAGTACTTACACCATGGAAATTGGAACTGCTACAAATCAGGGCTTGTCCTCCCTGTGGAGAGCCATCCAGCTGATCAACATTTAAGAGCACAACACCGAATCAGACAGTATCACCAATCAAGTTGACTTTATGTTCTTCTTTGGTGTTATGTAACAATGGCACAGCATCTTTTTGTCATACTCTGCCAAAACATAACTTCAATCCAATGACAAACCCCAGGAAAATTAACTGAGAAGATCCTACAAATAACTGGCCTAGTGGCTGGGAGTGTAGCTCAGCAGTAGAGCACTTGCCTCACATGAGGTAGGCACTGGGTTCAAGACCCAGACCCCACAAAAACCTGTCTTGCATTGCCAAAGTATCAGGGTCATGGAAGACAAAGACGATTAAGGCACTATTTCAGATTAAAGGACAGCAAAGACATGACTTGACAACCAAATATGTGATCCTGGCTGAATCCTAAAGAAGAAAAAAAAGGTTGGATTGTGTGTGTGTTTGTTTTTGTTTTTCGCTATTAATGATATTGTTAGGACAACTGACAAAACATTGGTAAGATCTTTTGATTAAATCTTGGTGGTGTACCAGTGTTAATTCCCGATTTGACAGCAGAACTAGGGTTGGGTGAGAGAAGGCCCCGTTTGTATACACCGATGTGTGCTGGGAAGGAGAATCTAGATGCCACACTACTGTCCTTGGTACTATTCTGGGAACGTTTCTTTGAGTGTGAAATGATTTCCCGCTTTAAGGAAAAATCCGTGAACACTACCTGGTCCTCTGCCTTTATCCTGAGGTCTTCATGACTGTAGGTAAGTGGAAGAGGTAAGAAAGAAAAGGACTTCCACGAGGTCTCAAGGTCCCCGACGCTGGCCGTCACCTCAGATCCAGCAAGGACAGCACCCCACACCCCCCGCCCGGCCGCCGTGTGGCCCTGGCGCTTGCGCGCCTTGCGCAGGCGCAGACTCTCTCACCGCCTTCCCGCCCGCCCCCGCCCGCGCTGCCCTGGGATTGGCCAAGGTCGCTGACGTGTCACGTCCTTTTCCATGGGGTGCTCACGACCTGAGTATGCAGGGGCCGCAGGTGCGAGGGCTCCTCCACAGCTGCCCCTATGCTAACCCACCGGATCAAAGGGGCAGTCTCTAGATTTCCTGAGCACTAGGGATAACTGGCCTTTGTGTCTGGCTGCTGAAGACATTTTTCTCTAGTCACAATAGATCAACGTCGTTGCTGCAAATTATTCAAAGCAATCTTACTTTCTCCAACATACTGTGGATTGTGTGTCCTTGTGTTTTCATTACTGTGTCCCTGCACTGCGGCCCGGGATCCCGACAAGCTGTGCCAAATTCTTAAAGGACGCGGAGAATCTTGGCCTCAGGTGCTTTCCTGCCCTTCCCGCCTTCCAAACCCATTGTAGTGCCCTTTTGCCGTTTCTTCCTTCGGTTTTGAGGGCAAGTATTAGGTACCAGAAGTCACAGAAGTTGGGAGCTCCCCTGTGAAGGCAGGCTTAAGTAAATGCATCCACTTCCAACGAGAAAAGCTTCATGTTTTAAAAAATATTGTCTTTGAAAAAAGTCTATAAAGTTTGTGGCCAGGTGCTGCTACCAGTGAGTCTCTAGCAGTAGTGGAAACTTGGCCAATACCAGATGGCCAGTCCCTCGGGGGAGGGGTTATATGTCTCTGCTTTCTGATTATCAATTAGTTGGAATTGCAGGGAAACCTGTCCCAGCCTTACAACACCTGTTCTGATCTACAACTCTGCCCAAAGAACACCAGAGACAGACAGCAGGTGGTGGGGTATTGTGCCTCTGTCACTTAGGGGGTTATATTTTCTGTTGAAATCTCATTCATAGGGTGAAGCCAGTGTGTTTGAATTTGGGGGTGAAAATACTTAGCTGTACAGATTAACAACAGAGGTGCTACTAAGACTGTTGTAATTGTCGTTGTTCTTTCAGTTATCTTCATTCAACCTGTGTAGCTGAGGAAGATTATCTCCCATTGTATGGCCCAGCAGCTAGCACATAAGGAGGTCTTGGTAAGTCTCTAAATGACTTTATACCACTCTGCACATTCTGCAGAATGGATTGGTCATTCTCCCATCACATAAAACAAAGTCATTTTTGCCTATATTGGTACTGCCATTGTGAAAGAAAGTTTCTGTTCTTACAGTCTGGAGAGGTCTTGATGTTCCTATAGCATTTCAAATGCTGTACAGTGAAAGGAGATTGAATAACAGATAGGATCTGTGTTAATTTTTACTGTGTTCATGGAATCTGATTACCAGTTTCTCTAGATATAGTTTTTTTCTTTTATACTCCTTTTCCCAAAACATGTAGGATTCTGAAGCAGAAATTGTGAAGGAAAGAAAGGACAACTGAATATTTCAATGGAGCAGACAGGCATGTCAAGCAAATGATGACAGAGCACATAATCAACAGTATATTGGGAGAGGGTAAACATTTTTTTGAATGATTTACAGAAACCACATTGATCTCCTGCGGCTACGAGAGAGAAAAATGTCTTCAGATAACCAGTGGTCAGCAGATGAGGACGAAGGCCCATTTTCACGACTGATCAGGAAATCTAGAGACTCCCCATTTGTCCCTGTAGGTAAGTACAAGCCTTGACTGATACATGAAAACGTAGACACTATAATGCCTTACCCAGTATCTGAAGTATACCCAGTTATCTGAATTTCCTCAGATAATTGAAGCTAACGTTCTCTAAGCATGAATATGAGTTGAGTTCTCATACTAGTTTCTAGTAGGTATTAAGCCCCCAATAATGTTAAGCTATCATTTCTTTTTTTTTTTGGTGGTACTGGGGTTTGAACTCAGAACTTTTCATTTGCAAAGCAGGTGCTCTACTGTTTGAGCCACACCTCCAGTCTTAAGCTATCATTTGAAACATCAAATTTTATTCTATTTTATCCATTCTATTAGAGGTCTTTCTACAATTATTAGTTCCCAGACAATCAAATGCAATTGATTGAATGAATTTAAACTTCTCTGTCATGATTCAGAATTAGCAGCAGCAGTTTCTTATACTGAGGGTCTGTTGTAGACTACTAAAATATTGTCTCTTTATCTTGTAAGCCTTTAAGTTCTTATATCTACTGTTTATAGATTTTTCTGTTTCTTTCATTACTATAAGTTAGGATTAAAGACTTCTTTTGTTCTGTGGAACCAGAAGCTTGAGAGACCTGTGAATAAATTCAGGGTAAAGCACTGAGGAAAAGCCTGGTTCCTGAGAGGATGAACTTTGTGAGGTTCATTTTGGCTGCTCAGAGGCCCTTTTTGCTGGCTTCCTGGCATGTTCCAGATATTGAGGTTGATGATTACATAAACTCTGACTTAAAGAAGAGGTATTCTGATTAGATTTGGAGCATTCGCCTCTTTCTCCTTCCCCACACATATTTAGTATGTGTTTACATTTTCAGTAAGTATTATATGCAGATGGACTTAAAAAAAATTTACCTGGACTGGGGGTATAGCTTAGTAGTAGAGTGATTTCATACATGCACAAGGGCCTAGGTTCAATCTTTACCACTGCAAAGATGAAATAAAAAAAAAAAAAGACTAATACTATGTTTTAAAATCTGAGCTTTCTCTTTCTTCTAGTCTGTATGCTTAAGCTGCCCTGAACATCATCATCATATTATATACTGCAGTCACACCTCTTTCCTTGTGTTCATTTCATCTGGGAACTATTAAAATAATTTCCTTAGATCTGATTTACATAACTGTGTGAGTATATTAATTCCAAAAAATTGTCTAAATAGGTAAAAGTCATGTGCTTTCTTTCATTAAGTGTCACTGTCACTGCAACTCTAGGAATTTTTCTTTTTCTTTTTTTGTGATACTGTGGCTTAAATCCAGGGCCTTCACCTTGAGCCAGTCCACCAGCTCAATTTTTTTGTGATGGGGTTTTTCGAGATAGGGTCTCACGAACTATTTGCCTGGGCTGGCTTTGAACCACAATCTTCCTGATCTCTGCCTCCTGAGTAGCTAGGATTACAGGCGTGAGCCACCGGCACCCAGCTAGGAATTTCATGTCATTATTCACATATCAGAAGCACTAAATTTTACTTTTACAATTCTATTCTATATAGAACTTTCATTTGTTTAACACTTATTAGAGAACACATAAGAAGGAAAAGCAAATAATAGTGATTTATTTACCTTCCTTATCATTTTTAACTAGAAAAATAACTCAGGAGCTCAATGCAGTTGAGTGTGGTAGTATATATCTGTAATCCCAGCACTTGAGAGGCAGAGGCAAGAGGGTCATGTGTTTGCGGCTAGTCTGGGCTATACAGCAAGACCCCATCTCAAAAATGAACAAACAAACAAAAAATCTTCCATCTCAAAAATGAACAACCAAAAAAAAAAAAAAGAACCCTCCATGATATTTAAACAGATCACAATAATGAGCAGAGATTACTCACTGTGCCTGTTGTACATTAATTTATTTTTCCAGAGACATTTAGGGTGATTAAAGTAGAAAGATAAAAGTGTTTCCAGCTAAATTCAATTATATACAAAGTGCAGAAACACTACATGAAAAACAGAACAGGTTCTGACTTTAATCACTCTAAAAGAAACAAAACCAATTTAAGAACAGAATCTTGATTTGATTAAGGTAAGAGAACCAGGGGTAGAAATGACCCAAACATTGTATGCACATATGAATAAAAGAAAAAAAAAAAGGAAAGAGAACCAAGTTTTTTGCTACAAAATAATTATAAAATTTGCATATATATGCATATACATATATATGTGTGTGTGTATATATATATATATATATATATAATTGAATAGTTTTGTTTAGCTATTGTTATTTTAACAATATCTACAGATACCCTTCTACAGGATGGAGTGTCTTGTGTATATAATTTACAAGACATTTTTTATTGAATATCTTAAATCACTTCCAGCCCTATAAATATGATCTATTGGGCAGGGGGTATAGCTCAGTGACAGAATGCTTCCCTAGCATATACAAGGCCCTGGGTTCAATTCCTAATACTGTAAAATAAAAATAATGAATAAATACTTTACATCATTCAGAATTGTCTTATGATCACTATTAAGGTATTATATATACATTGAATGCATTTTATGTGTATTGACAGATTATCTTGTTTTACTTCTTTCATTTAATATTTCATATGTAGATTTCTGTGTACTAATTTTAACTACAATTTTTATTAAGTCTACAGTTTTTCTTCTCTTTGAGCCATTTGGGTTGTTTAGTTTTTTCTCAGACATAGTTTATCCATGAATATTTTGGTGTCATTTTCTGTACTTTTCTGTTGCTTATTTCCTTGGAGTATGTTCCCAAAAGTAGAATTTCCAAGTCAGGAAGTATGTCCAGTTTATTGTCATTTATTATATATTTCTAGGATTCTTTCCAAAATGCTTTGGCCAGACTTACAGAGCTTTTAGCATTGGACCTGCTTCCCTTTTGGTTTATCATCATCATTTTATTTTTATTTGTTTTCATATATTTGTAATATATCAGTCATTTTCATTTCAGTTAAATTTACTGCTAGTCAGCCTAAAAAATATACATAGAATACCAGGTGCTGGTGGCTCACATCTGTAATCCTAGCTACTCAGGAGGCAGAGATCAGGAGGATCGCAGTTTGAAGCCAGCCAGGGCAAATAGTTTCATGAGACCCTATCTTGAAAAAACCCAACAGAAAAAAGGGCTCGTGGATTGGCTGAAGGTGTAGGCCCTGAGTTCAAACCCAGTACCATACACACACACACACACACACACACACACACACACACGTGTGTGTGTGTGTGTGCTTATTTACTTTTTTCCAATATTAAATGGATCCTGAAAGAATAAATATATCCTATCCACTCTTAGAAACACACCTGTGCCAGAAGACCTGAATGAATAGACTACTGTGTACATGGATTGTAAGGTGTAATACATAGTAAAGATGTCAGTTCTTCCCAAATTAATCTATAGGTTTAATGTAATTTTTTTTTTGGTGTCACTGGGCTTTGAACTCAGGGCCTTACTCTTGCTAGGCAGGCACTCTTACTACTTGAGCCACTCCTCCAGCCCTATAGGTTTAATGTAATTCTCATCAAAATCCTAGCCAGGTTTTTTTTTTTATACACATAGACAAGCCTATTCTAAAATTTGTATTATAATTCCTAGAAGAGCTAAATAATGTTTTATTTTTCTTGTGGTGCTGGGAATTGACCTAGAGCCTTGCATATGCTAGGCAAGCACTCAACCACTGAGCTATATCCCTAGTCCTTGGTTTTTTGAGACAGGCTCTCCCTCTGTAGTTCAGGCTGGCCTCCTGCCTTAGCTTCCAGAGTTCTGGGATTACAGACGTACACCACCATGTCAAGTGCTGTTTTTCTTTTTTTTTTTAATGAATAAAATGGAAGGAATCACTCTGCCTGATATTAATGCTTACTGTACAGCTACAGTAATCATGATTGTATGGTTATTAATGGAAAGACAGATATGTAGATCTGTGGGGTAGAATAGAGAACCCCCCCAAATAGAATCACACTTTTATTGTACAAAATTTTTCTTTGTTCTTATGTGAACATATAGCATTTTATCCTTGTCAATTTCTATTAAGCCAGGTACAAGTGGCTCATGCCTGTAATTGTAGCTACTCGAGAGGCAGAGATCAGGAGGATCCCAGTTTGAGGCCAGCCCAGGCAAAAAAGGGAGACCCTATCTCAAAAATACCCAACACAAAAAAGAGGCTGGCAGAGTGGCTCAAGTGGTAGAGTGCCTTCTAGCAAGTGTGAGGCCCTGAGTTAAACCTCAGGACCATCCAAGAAATTTTTTTCTATTAAGTCTACCTTATCTTCTTATAGATGTTTTTTGTTGTCTATATTTTTGTTTTCCAAGTAACTTATCCATCTGGAATCTTTTTTGCAGGGTCTGGTATGAGATACAAATCCAAGATAGTTCTTCTCCATACCAATAAATTATGCTAATGACATTACTGAATAACTATTCTTTTATCTATTATGTGGTTAATTTTAGTATGTTATAGATTAAGTTCTGCTAGTGTTTTAAATCTCTTTCAGCAATCTTTCCTATTTAACTTATCCGTTCTGTGTTTTAAAACCAGTTACATAGGATCTCAGATGTCCTGGCATTATATACACTCCTTGACATCTGTAGAAAATGCAGAAGTATTTGTATGGCTTCTGAACTTTTCTAGAATCATAGTTCTTCCCAGACTCATATACTTATTGCACATGTATTCATATATTTCCAGCTCTCATTAAAGTTTATCATGTCACTTTAGATTATTTTACTTCATCTTTTCATTTAATGACAAGAGAGAAGTAAAGCCAAACACTCAAAAGCTGTGGATATTGAGATGTTGAGTTGGTTCACTCAACATCTGGGGCTAAGTAACTTGCCCCAGATAACAGACTTTTAGGCTGCACAATTGGAAATCATGCCTTAGGAAAGTTACAATAGACTAGACAAGTTACTGTACCATAAGGTTCCAGTTTTTCTGGGGGAAGCACATACTACGTCTATTATATCCAACATATTGAATCCAAGAATGTAAAGGACTCATTTTAAAATTCAGTACATCAAATGTAGAATGGGCTTTTTTTAAAGTATCTTTTGGCACAGGTTGAGCATCCATAATCAAAAAGTCTGAGATGCTCCAAAATCTGAAATCTCTGGAGTGCCAACGTAATGCCACAAGTGGAAAATTCCACACCTGTCCTCATGTGACAGGTCATAGTCAAAACAGAACTGCACTAAAACTATTGCATAAAATTACCTTTAGTCTCTGTGAAAAGACACGTGACTTTCATCTTTAGACTTGGGTCCTATCCCCAAGATATTTCATTATTTTCATGCAGATACAACAAAATCTGAACACACTTGAAACCCAAACTTCAGGTCCCAAGCATTTTTCAAAGAAGGGATACAACCTGTATCTTGCCTGCTTATCTTCCAGGCACTCGTCCTTTCATTTATCTCTCTAATGGGAATTTTGCCTGTTGTTTATCTAATTTGTACTTTTAAAATTCACAGGTATAACAGGCTTTGTGACTGTGGTGTCCTATGGTCTTTATAAGTTAAAGAACAGAAGAGATAAGAAAATGTCTATTCATCTTATTCACATGCGAGTTGCTGCCCAAGGATTTGTTGTAGGAGCTGTAACTCTAGGTAACTTGCTTAATTTGTCTCTTATTGTTCAGCTGCTTTCCAATTATTCTTTGTTGATTCTGTTCATTCATAGAAGATGCAAGATAGTGTCATGCAGGAAGGGTTAACAGACTGACCTTTCCACCTGGTTGAGGTTGCTGGCCAGTTACTGGCTTAATTTCTTAGCATTTTCAGTTCTCCCCAGTAGAGAACTAGGGGATTGGTGGCTATCCTCTATACTAAAAGAAGCAGTGAATAGTTCCTACCCTAGACAAACCAACTAAGAGCAGTGGTTCTGTTTTCTAGCTTATTTGAATAGCAGTTGTATTTATTAAAATAGTTCAATTGGGAAAAAACATTTTTAAAAGGCCATGAATCTAAACAGCCTTGTTCATAGTTTGAAGTTTTGCTCAGTGGCAATATCACAGCCAGGGAAATTTACTGAAGCACAATTATTGTTAATTGAAACCTTTCCACAAGTTTGTGCAATAGGCAAATCTTTTTAAAATTAACTAATGAATAGATTACATAATCAAAATAAGAAATGTTTAAAATTATTGTGGTTAATTAAGATTTTGCTAACGCTAAATTTGTTAGCTATCCAATTAGATAGATCCTATAAGAAGTCAATTTTGGGACCTAGATGATACACAGTATTCTGTCTGCATTAATGAGAGCGCATCACAGTATCCTTTGCCTCCCTTTATGCCTTGGTCAGAGCAGAGTAGGCTTACTAGTGATGGGCTTGCAGCTTATGTACAAGAGGTTATGTGGTGATTTTTGCTATGAGCTATGATATGGGAATCTTGAACCTAATACGAGATGCCTTACTCCAAAGTAACAGCCTCCTTTTCATCATTCAACAAACATTTATGAAACATCTCCTATGTGGCAGACACTACACTAGTCCACAGATACAGAGATAAGACTCACTCCCTACCCTTGAATCATTTAGTCTCCTTAGCAGAGACACCAAGAAGATAATACAGCACAAATTCACAGGCACTGCTGCAGAGATGGTATGGATTGCTTTGGAAGGACAAGTATGAAGGAAGGTGTTTAACTAGGGCTGGAAGATCAGGGGAAGTTCTCAAAGGATGTAAACTATGTGATGGGCCAAAAACATGGAGGAAATACCTAAGGCAGAGAAAGCCAGGATGCTAGGCAAAAGAAAAAACAAAGGCATAGGAACACGGCATGTTGGTGGAACTTGACATAGCTTGGTAAGGTAGGTGAGTCAATCAGTGTTTGAGGAGAGAAACTGAACTACTAGCAATAACATATAGGAAGGCACCAGGCACCAGTGGCTAGTCAGGAGGCAGAGATCAGGAGGATCAAGGTTTGAAGCCAAATAGTTCAAAAGATCCCATCTTGAAAATACCCAACAAAAAGGGCTGGTAGAGTGGCTCACATGGTAGAGTGCCTGCCTAGCAAGCATGAAGCCCTGAGTTCAAACCCCACTACTACCAAAAAATACACACACACACACACACACACACACACACACTTTTCATGAGGCTTTTGCTTATGTATCTGGAGCTGGGTCCTGAATTGGGGAGGACAAGAACTTAGGAAAGAAAGAAGGATGTAGGGTAGGGAAAGTAAGAAAAATCCAGAATGTACACATAACAGACTGGAACTCTTGAGGATTTTTTTCCTAAGGTAATCAGACTATTAATTAACATGACAATGAATGATACAAAGCTTCATTTCCATCTATCATTTTATCAGTTACCATAATTCAATTTAAATATTTCATACAATGTAGCAACAATTATTTATACAACCAAACAATTCCATCACTGTGATTAGGTGGCCCTTTCAATGGAAAATTTCATAATGTCACTACAATAACTATCAGTTCAACTACACAAGGGTTTCTGAAGACAATGGTTTCTCCATCCAAGCAGTTATAAATAAATTTCAAATGGAATTGGCATCACTGTGCAGGAATCCTAACTTCATATTCCTGGGGATTTACAAGTAGACTAATTTTACACAGAGCAATTTTTAAAAAGACACCTTTATTAAGCATTACAGTCAGTCTATTACATTTAGCAGTCAACAGCATGGGTACAAAAATATTTTTTATATTAAGACTAACCTGTTATACAATTAATTGCAAATACATTTTTTTATGCACATGAGTATTGTATAAAACATGTCTTCTGTATAGTAACTATGCCCTGCCACCACTGTGCTTGGCTGAGTTCACAAATTTGGCTCTCCTCTCCTGCTAAGCTTTGTTTCCTGACAGTAATTAAATCCTTCTGCCACTGCTGGCTGCTGCTACTGCTACTACTTCTAGGACCACCATAGCCACCTTGGTTTTATGGTTTGGCAAAGTACCAACCTCCAAACCAGAGGGCAGAAATTCCTCCCTTCATGGATCCAAACTCTAAAGATTGATTATTGTAACTGTCAAAATCATTGTTACTTCTACTACCTCCAAAATTACTTCCATCATTACCAAATCCATTGCAGCCATTCCCACAGCTACCATATCTGCCACCACTATGGCTGCCACCAAAGTCAGGATCACTGAAGTTTCCTCCATGACCAAAGCTGTTATTACCACCAACACTACCTTCATGACATCTACCTAAGTTTCCAGAAGCACTAGCCATCTCTTGCTCTCCTCATTTCATAGTTGTGGCCATTCAAGTATGGTATTTCTGAATGACAGCCTTATCCACAAAGTCAGGGTCATCAAAGGTTACAAAAGCAAAGCCCCTCTTCTTGCCACTGCTTTGGTCAGTCATGGTTTCAAGCACTTCAAGTTTCCCATGGTGTTCAAAATTATCTTGTAGAGGGGTTCTTCAGTGTCTTTAATACCACCAATACAGATCACTTCCACAGTTCAGTCTCTGAGAATCTTCTCCTGAGATAGCCCTCTTTGGTTCCTCAACTCTTCCATCCTCCTTTGTGTCTTTTGCACTCATGGTAGCATCCACCTCATCCATAATGGCCTACATGATAAATGCAAAGCCCTTAGAGTACTTGCTGTTTGGAGTTCTCATTATCAAATGTTATTGTTTGGATATGAAGCATCCCCCAAAGGCTCATGTAATTAATGGCTTAGATGCCACATGATGGGCTTTTGACACTACTGGGGCAAGTGCCCTACTCCTTAACCCATGTCTCCAGCCTTGATGGGATTTTGGGAAGTGACTGGATCATGAGGGCTCTGACCTAACCAATGGATTAATCCATGATGGATTCATAATTTTTTTTTCCTTACTAGGGCTTGAACTCAGGACCTTTACCTACAGCCACTCCACCAGCCCTATTTTTGTGAAGGGTTTTTTGAGATAGGGTCTCACAAACTATTAGCCGGGCTGGCTTCAAACTGTGATCCTCTTGATCTCTGCCTCCTGAGTAGCTAGAATTATAGCCGTGAGCCACCAGAGCCCGACTCTGGATTAATAATTTGATGACATTTGGAGGTAACAGAAACTAGAAGATGGGATATACTGCATTCTAGAGAAGTACTCTATCTCTAGGCTTTCTCCAGCCACCATACCTTCATTTCTAAAAGGTCTTGTGTCATTAGCCATCCTGCCTTCTATGGGATGTGATTTTCTTCTTTGCCTTCCCTTCCTTCCCTTCCCTTCCCTTTCCTCTTCCTTCCCTTCCCTTTCCCTTCCTTCCTTCCTTCCTTCCTTCCTTTCCTTCCTTCCTTCCTTCCTTCCTTCCTTCCTTCCTTCCTTCCTCCCTCCCTCCTTCCTTCCTTCCCTTTTTCTTTCTTTCTTTCTTTCTTTTTGAGACAAGGTCTCCCTATGTAACTCAGGCTGGCCTCAAACTCAGAATCATTTTGCATTAGCCTCCCGAGCTCTGGGACTACAGGCATGTATCACCACATCTGGCTCCCTTGTCTTTTAATCACAGCACATGAGATTAAATGTTTGAAGAGATACTACACATTCCAATTTCCCCTTAATAGTCAGGACAGATCAGTTAACTGACTAAGGTCATATCTTGTGGAATGAAGAGATCAATCACAGTCTTTGCAGAATGGAATGGCATAGGACTAGAAAGTTCACCTAGCCCTGAGGGTAGACGGTGAAACTATACTGCAGGCTCTGTCAGATGAAAATAAATTGCTTCTTTTTATGGTATTTACTCAAAGGTACGCAGATAATAGCAAGCAACCAGATTAACAGCTGCACACCAAATAGCAAAGGTTGCGTTGATTTGCTCTAACAATGAAATCACATCTCAATAGCAGCTGCAATTAGAGTGATCACCTGGTAAGTTTAGAGACATCCAATTTCATTCTCCAAAATCCATCTGTCTTCTGTGAAATAAGCAGACTGAATGAAGACATGCTAGAACCCCCTCTCAGGCATCCCGGAAGTCCTTGATGATGCCATTAATCTCCACAGTCCCTCTAGAAATATACTAATATTTTAGTTTACTATTTTGATAGTCAAAGACAATTAGGATGGTATACACTTAGCTCTATCAAAGCAATCCTTATTTCACAGGTTAGGGGACCAGTGTGAGAAATTTTCTGTTCTCCGGGACTGGAGGCTAACAAAGGGTGGGGTCAGGGAAACTCCAGACTATGTGTAAAATAGACTCACTGCAAAACACCACAACCACCTGACCTCTACAAACCTCCACAAAACCTTGGTACAACACACTAATTTGGCCAGAGTAGTAATCATCAATTCAGAACCAGTATAAAAAAATCTCCCATAAATGTGATTATTGTACCTTCTTTAATGGACAGGTGCCCTGGTAAATGACCACAGGTCATTTCTAATATATGTGTGTGTGTGCATGTGCATCTTTGTGTATGAGTGGGCGTGTCTGCGTTAGAAGAGGGCTATGCAACAGGATCCTTCCTTTAGAGACCTGGCCTCTCCTTCATTCAAGGGACCTTGGATATGTGAGCTAATTCAAATCCAGGAGCTGGTCAAGAGCCCACGGCTCTCTATTGTGATGGTTCAAATCAAACTTTAGTTCACCAAATCTAGAGCTTTTCTGCCTGTATCTGCTTATATTCAATTCTAGGG